GAACTATGGCACAGCCTAATAAAACATTAAAATACTAATAACTGTGTTTTTAATAGATTGTAAAATTTAATTGCAACCATCTGTCATTTTAGTGAACATGACATTCTGCAATTTGGTTGTTAGTAGATGTATAAAAAGTATTATATTATACAAGGTCAAATATTTTTAAACTTTATACCAAACTAATTTTGAAAACAATATCTGGCCATCAAGAACTACACATTTTAATTTAACAGATGTTATCAATTGCAACTAAGTGATCAAATCTTTTATTCATCTTCCAAATTCCCAAAAGATATGGATAACATCTGTTTGATCAAAATTCTCTAACATAAATTATTACGTAATTTTTACTGAACAGATATTAAAATGCTCTTTGCATGTCCAACTAAACTCCTTGAAACTCAATTCAGAACTGATTCCAATGCACATCCTTCCCTAACCTTCCGGGGGAAAGGGGGGGTATAAAAAAAAACTCGTCATAGGGGACAATCTATAGATGTCTTGGATGATCACAGTTGTCGATGTACATGTATATCCAACACTATATCCGTCAATATAAACAATGAAGTGTATTTTTATTGCCATCATTGGAAATATTAGGGTTGTCAGCATTGTAGGAAAATTAAATAAAGTAAATGAGTGATATGATATTTTCCTACAATGATGGTAAAGGTCATTTCCCTATGATTACATTATTTATATTAAGCACACTTTATTGCTAGTATTTACATCCTGTTCTTGTTATTAAAATACGTTTTTCCTTTTTCCAATAAAAATATACAGCCCATAGTGCAAGTTTTGCAAGTATATTGAACAGCCAGACATCAGTCACCGAAATCTTGAATTAGCACCCCCAAGGGTTAGCTCATGACTAACGCATGGCAAAACTGGGTTTCGTCCATTCAAAGTGATTTTTAGGGAATTATTCACACCTGACGATCTAATTTTTATATATGGGAAAAATTATTAGAGGAATAATAATTCTAATTATCCCAAAGTGAAAACAACAATTAGAATAAAGTATAGTTTACTAAGAAATCAACAATGACATCTGAAGCCTTGGAACGCATAACAATTTTGGTTCACAGAGACCACTTACTATAACTATAAATAAAAACAGCATCTAAAGCATTTCAATCCAACAAATGTGCAGCAAAACAAAATATTATGGTCATTCCTTTTTGATTCCATGTTAACAAGGCATAGAATAAGATAACCGTCTACTACAATATATACACATCTGATATATGCTTCACGTATATAAGCTTTGTAACATTTGGAAAAATTGCATTGTTTAAGAACCTTGAATTCATAAAAATAAATTCTTTGCATTGATTAATCAATAAAAATATAAAGTATGAATGACTTTCAATAATTACACCTGTCATATTATTTGAATTGTTTGAATGACTGGAAAAAATAAGCTATGTTTGGTAAAATATATAATAATAAAATGCATTCCTCTTTCTACGAGGATATTGAAAATTGCTTCTTTAAACATTACATTTTTGGCAAAGTTACCTTTTGATTAACAGCATTGATTGTTGGCCAAAAAAGTCTATAATTTTTCAGGCATCCATACAACAAATTAAACCCATTAATAGATGCTGTCCTTACCGAAGTTCACCTAATGTCCTATGAAAAATTAATATATAGGATTTGTTCAGAAACATAGCTAAAACACAAGCATAAAAATATATTCAAATCTACTTCCATCTTCTATACAGACAAAAATAAAATTCACAATCTAGTCTCATATACAAACTGTCAGGAATGTACCATGTAATTATTAAATAAAGTTATCATTGATTTACATTCACTTTACATGAAATAAAATGTAATAAAAGAGTAGTGCAGATATGTCCAGTAAAGAAAAAGCAATTATAAGTTATTCCTTAAAGGATCATGTATTCTGTTTTCTTCAAATTAAAAAAACCATTCTACTTTCTTATTTTAGAAATAAAGTCTAATTAAGATATATATGCCTGATTAATAGTTTCAGAATAGAAGGCTACTCCCATTTTCCATTGGATCTGAACAACTTCTTGGGATTTCAAAACAGATGTATTTAAAAATATATACATCTACAGTTGCATAAATTATATTGATTATTAATTGCATTGAACATTACTACATTTGCATTGATTCAGATATAAGGTAACTTTGCTTAATGATGGATTAGATTTACTTTGAACTATACCGCTGCAACAAATTGTAAAACATTGAGATAATTGTTTGCTTATTTTTATCACCTACAAGTATTAATTAAAAGGTCAAAAATTCCACATGAGCTTAATCAGTGCATGCATGTTGTCTGTGATCAAATAGGCTAAGCTTATGTCATGTCCCTGTTGTCATAGACTCTCCATGCAGTATACATGTTTTAAGTTCTGAATACATAGAGATCAACGCTATCACATATAATATTAGATGAGTAGAATTACTACATGTATGTCAAGTGGTATGTAAAAATGGAAAATGATTGGTTCCCTGCATGCTGACCTATTTGAATACCTTCACATAAAATTTCAATACTTTCAGAAAATGAGTACCCAGGTATTTTCCAGCCCAGCTAATTTACATACATGTACTATGTGAACAACCTTTGAAGAAAGTGATGAAATGAGAATCAAGATATGACAACACAGTGCTTAAGCAGATAGTAATTTTCTGGCAGTTAAAGTTGTAGTGCAATAAGTTTCCATTGCTATAATAATTATTTATAGAATATATAATGTATCATAGACTAGGCAGGGTAGTATAAATCTTTGAAATTCAATTCTTAATTAAAAATGATTTAATCAATGAACCAGTATTTACATGTAAGCTTCTCTGGATTAAGATCCTTTAGATATTATTTTCAGAAAAAATAAATTTGAGTTTAAAATCAATTTCTTGAACAGAATTTCAATGTATCAAACCTCTGTATGATGACAAATACTGACATTTCAGCTACCCATTAATTTGATTTCAGTAATGCTCAACTAATCATAATTATGCATTCTTGTCAGTTGAAGGACTGATGGACTTTGTACACTGTATCATAGAGAGAAAAAATTCCCCCAACAAAGAGAGAAGGAAACTAAATCAACCACTGTATTGCTAATCTCTAAGAATAATGATTTTCCCATTCATCTACCCTTACTCATCTTTAGAAAAACGAATGCGCTTAAAATATACAATATTGCACAGAATACAAAGTTATTTTGATCCTTTCAAAGTAGTTCAAATGTTTCTATCATTTTAGATAAAAAAAAAATCATGAACCTATACAAGTGTGCTACATTACACACACCACATTTATTATGCATGTCTATGTGCTTGTGAAAAGTTTGTATGGAATGTGTTGCATTGTACATGTATTAAAAAATATTGCTCAAAGATGCCACACTGGAAAAACATTATACTATTTCTCTTTCATTCACATATTTTTTTGATAAAAATAATTTTACTTTCTCATCAAAAAATATATATAAGGGTAATTGATACTTTGAACTGATAATGTGCTTAAGCATGTCCACACAGACAGCAGGGGCAACTGACAATGATGTAATAGATTTCTCAAAAAAATACAGCATAAACATAATACAAGTATGATATTAAAAACATAAATAATATCACAGACTGCTATTAATTCACCTCCTTCTTTACATACCCTACAAGTAATCCTTTCTGTGGGTATAAATCTCTGTCTTTTTAGAGGCTCATAAAGATGCTACATGTATTTTCATTATTCTTCATGGATTTTTTTTTCTTTTTCAACTTCCATTTCTGAATAGCAATACACAAACAACTTCCCCACAGAAACAATTACTTATAAAGCATGTCATTTCTTTCACCAAATAGAAAAGTACTTACAAAAGTATTCACTAAATAGAAAATTACTCCAAAGCAGAGTAACATGCATGGATCACTTGAGGTGCCTCACTTCAATCAGGTGTGATGGTCGTAATCACTCATGTGACTACCTGTGGAGGTCGCTCATGTGTGACCTCCTATACTTGTGTACTTGTCCTCTGGGTCACACAAATCACAACAGGAGGTACAGGACTGGGAGGGTTAAGTTCCAGCTCCTCAATCCCTGGGCAAACAGCTTGATCAGCTGGCAGTGGGTTCTGAAATGAAACATATTATAATATACTTTAATACTGTATGTTTATCACATACATTTGTACTTTATTCCTACTTCTTAATTACAACATCTGACATGGTTGAACTGCAAAATTATGATGATTGTTAAGATTTCATCATTAGAAAAGGCATGAAATAAGACATTCATAGTTTCATAAAATTCATTAATTTGAGTCACATTTTCTGAGAAATGAATAAGTGAATAAAACCCCTTGTTGTCAAAAACAGGCATATTGCCAACAGCTTTTATCTCTACTGTCAGAGTACATTAAAACCATTTAAATACTGTTGTAAATAAGAAATAACAAACGCCATTTCTGTTCCATATTGTGACCCACCCAATAGCCATGATTTTGAACCAACTTGAATTATGGAACTTTTCTTCTTAAGATTTCAAAAATCATTTATCTTGGACCACCTAGTGTAACACACACACACACACCCAACCATCTACTGCCAACAAGTTTGAATACACATAAATTGAGAGTGCCTGAAGATTAATCCCGCTGTAATTCCACCCTAATCTCATCAACCTTTTTTTGGGGGGGGGGGGAGTAAATTTTCATCAAATTACGGTGCTTCTCTATTAATTTAACTATTTCAATTATTACCCTGCTGTTCTTCAAAGATTTCAAAATACTTTTTTCATATATATCATTGTCCTCTGAATTTTGTACATGTAATATACAGTTTATGTCTGCGTAATTCAGCAAACCTTTCAATTAGTTAGAATATTACCTGATGTGTTTCAATGTTATACCTGGTTGCAATTGGTTGTGGAACACCTGTATAGGTGACGTAGGAACTGGACACGAGAGCAGGTCTGAAGTTCCATCTCCCAGGTGGCAGTAGGGGGAGGGGCCCATGGGGCTGATCAAACATCGACAGCTCATGGTGAAGCTGGCTACGGCTAGAAACTTCCCCCTCACAGTGTGCCAGCCTTCAGATCCTATGATTAACAGAGAGACTTTTCAAATATTCTTTAAATTAAAAATAAATCTTTTGAAAACATATCGACAGCATGCATCAGTTCTCCGAGGGGGAGGAGGTAGGGAGTCTAGGGGGAATTTACTGGGAAGATAACACATACTTCCTGCACACTTACTGAATGTGACAATGGTTTCATGGATCAGATAAATCTTTCCTGGAGAAAAAGAAACTGCTTTCAAAAAAATATTTTTATGTAGTTTTTGAATAACTTACCTTTTTCTTCCTGTGAGTTCTTACTCATGGCACAAATATTACAGCTGAAAAATAAGCTTTGAAATATGAACATTTCAATTTGAGCAAAAAGTACTGTAAAATCACATATTTTTGTAGGGTCAAATTTCATGGTTTGAGGAGAAAAATATCTGTTCATGGGGATTTGATTTTTTGGTTGAAGACATAAATATGATAATATAAGCTGAAATTTTAAATTCCATGGAGGACATGAATTCCCGGATCTCTACATACCATGAAAACAATGAAAATTACACCCCCACACAAATTAGTGATTTCACAGTAATTAAAGTAAGGATAATTATATCACTTCTAAAAATCCGTACTATTTTTAATTTCTAATACACTTCTCTAATCAAGTGAGTTAAAGGTAGTTTTTCAATACTTTTGTTTCCAGAATTTCAGATACTTTACCAGACTTCTGAAATACTTTCCCCAAATATTTAAGGGAAAACATTGCAGGATTGAATTAAAAATTTCAAAGAACATCCATTCTTTTTGCTCTAATGTACAATGTCTAAATTCAAAACTGAAAGATAGTTTAATCAGTTAAACAAATTCATACTTATTAACAAAGAAAAAATTACAAATTAAGACAACCCAAAATTTTTTTTAATGTTCATACCCAGAATTACAGGTGATTTTGTCACGAGGGTTTGAATCTGTCGAGTAGGCCAATTTAAATGACACCTCCCCTTCATAAGACTTGTTACCCAAAAACTGTTTTGCACCTATAAACAGAAATGGTACATTTTATTGCATTTTTTTAAAAAAAATATCGTAAATGCTGTACAACATCCTATTACACAAGCTTTTACACTGAAATATTGTTGTCGAGTTAGGAGTTTGCTCCCTCTCAGTCGATATTTTAATTGGGTGCAGTTTATAAGATGATGTCATAACACAAATGTTCTGATCACTGGACTTTGGCTGTACATGTATATTAAAGGAGAAGAAGAATACTAAGAATTTATTGAGTGATAAGTACATGTACATGTATATGAAAATAAACATACAAAATCTTTACAAATCCAAATAAATGTAGGTCATAAACAGTTGTATAAAATTTAATTAAAATAAGATTGGTAGATGTATATGATGAAATCATGTGACCAACCTGCTTTATATTCAGTCCTGTAATCCATTAATTTCATGAAAATGTTACATCAAATACCAAGTATAAAAAAAGTTATATATTCTGAAACTTTCTTCAAAATATGCTCTGTCTACAAATAAATGGACATGTTGAATTTATCCTGTATTCAGTAATAACTTCTACAGCTTAAATCATTACCTGCAATTTTTAACGTTTTGATCCCATCCACCTGTTATTTTCACTGTCTTTTAACATATCACCATAGTAACCATACGCCAACAATGTGCTACTGTAACGTAAAAATTGGTCCCCATCATAGACTGAGCAGACATCTATAGCCGTACAATCACCTACAAGTCAAATCTTCAATGATGAAAACATTACACTTTTTTACCTTTAACTTTGTAAATTGTAAGAAGTCAAGACTTTCGAGTACTAGTATGTCATAGTCTAGGTAGAAGTAAATCAAAATAAATGTCATTGTGCACATTCATAATACTGGAAATTCAATACTATATAAATATTTCTCTTTAAACTTGGAAATTAACTCAACATTGAATTGTAAGCAATTAACTCACATTGAATTGTAAGCAATATTTGAATGAGACATAGTCATTATCAATTAATAAAGTACAAAATTAAAATATACCTTGGATTGCTGACGTCATTGGATCATTGATTCCTGTTGTGGAATAACGTATGGCATCTGTAGAACCTAAGAAGAAAATTAAACTTATAACATATGTGACCTGTAACCCACTGGGAATCTAAAAGATTTTAACAACAAAGACAGAAATTAGCACAGATGAACTCTAACTGGAAATCTGCAAGATTGGGAACATTCTTTAGCAACTACCCTAATTGTAAAATGTAAACTTAATATTGCTTAGTTTGCATAAGTCGTTTAAATTTTTTGGTATTAAACAGAACTTTCAACATGAAATTCATAGAAATATTTGACATGTTCGTAGCATTTAAACCTGACTCAAAAATGCAGATTTTAACTTTATTTAATTAATTATTTTCTTAATAGAATTAAAGATGACCAGCCGCTGCATTTTTGTCAGCTCAAAGAACAAATTTGCATCGCGCTCCTTTTCTTTAGCTTTTGACTGGCTGAAATTGCCTGTAAGTGTAAAATATATCACTTAAAGAATGAATTTTAATAGCTACCCTTTTCCTACGGTATAAACTGGGAAGGAACAGTTTACGCTTTATAAACCGCGAAGCGGTTTCTGAAAAAAGCGTAAACTGTTTCAACCCAGTTTATCTCGTATAAATCGGGTAGCTATTAAATTCATTCTTTATAATTTCATTTTCATTCATTAAGTGTAAGAAAAAAGACGATTGCCCTTAAAATGACTTTAAATTGTACAAAATTTGAATGTAACGTCAGGCGGATCGATACGTTTTTGATGCAAGTCAATTTTGACGAAGGCAACCCAATTTATACAATATACAGTAAATTTTTATCCAATCATATACCGCGTTACAACCAAAAATTAAATTATATAAAGTTAAAATAAAACAAATTATAATGTATATTTTTTTTTTCTTTTACATACCTAAGATATTGTACAGAAAACAGACTCATCTTTGGTTTTGTTTTTGAAACATTCAGTGAAATACCGAGTAGTCTGGCTGTCGTAATGTAATATACCATTTACATTATTCATCTATCAAGATAAACAATGTTTGGACAATGTCAATATATTACAAATTTATAATTCTGAATGTTCGGCTCATTTCAACATGGATAATGACATATAAAACAAAGATATTTTGTTGCATATTCCTTATATTTCAAGGGACATTTCGCCACACATGTTGCTAGGGAAAATAAATCCGCAGTTTTTTAGACACAGTGCACCAAATCGCTATTGTATTTCAAGAGGATTGATCTAGCAGAGGGACAAAATAAATTTTTCTTCACATTAGAAAGAAATTAAGTACTGTCGGGCCATGAATAACAGAATTTCTTTAGTGTGTTTCCATGTTCTAGTTAAAATGACGTATGCTTATTTCGGTAGCTGGATGAATCAAAGTGAACAAACAACAAGCAACGAGGTAAGTAGTTGTAAATATATTTTATCGAATGTATTACTTTTTTGTTCCTGAAATTCATTAAAGGGGTTTTATCACATCTCAAAATTTTTTGATATGACAAAGTTTACATGTTATTAAACACATATATTTAAAAATCTTTGCTCGAAAATTAATATTGTTGATGTTTCAGCGATTCAAAGTTTGAAATTCTCAATATGCATATTTTGATCGCTGATGCTATGCGACATTGCTCTGATGTCATAGGTGTCAATCCTGGTCAAGCAAAGTACTTATCGGTATACAAAGCGGCTCATTTGTTGTGTCTATTAAACCTGTTAGTGAATAAATAAGTGATAATTAGATAATAAAAAGCTAGTAAGGTATAATTTGTGGCTTTAGGGTGCACCTATTCGCACAAAAAAGGTTTTAGGAAGACTTTTTTCCACATTTCCTGGACTTGATCGAGAAGTGAAAGGGGAGCCCTTTTTCTGCAAACGCAAGGGCTTTGTCTCCTTTTAAGGACATGGTACCTTTTTAAAATGGAAAAAAATACCCACAAGCATTTTTAAAGTCGCACAGAATCTAGTGCATGCTAGTAGGAATGTTGTGAACTTCGTAATGGCGTACGGCGCCATTGAACAGTGTTGAAGAAATGTCATTTCTAGTACATGATATACACTGGAACAGATAGAATATTTATATACAGTTTATTAAAATATTGAAGAAGTTGAATTTGAAATTCTTTTATATATATATATATATATATATATATATATATATATATATATATATATATATATATATATATATATATATATATATATATATATATATATATATATATATATATATATATATATATATGAAAATATATATTTGTGAAAATAAAAATTCGGATTAAACTTTTAAAAATAAAGACTTAGGTTTAATTAACGCGGCGCGGTGAACGAGGTTCGCACCCAGGCCTCACGATCACGAAGGGATATGCCTACCACTAGGCTATCGTGACTGGTAGAAAATAATATATAAGATTATGGTCGTTCTATTTATGTAATAATTATCCCTTTTTAAAACTTGAAATCTGATTTCATCCAGAGCTTTCCAAAAATGCACTTGTATATTTACTCATTTGTATAACTTGAGACTACATTTTGAAATGTTACAAAAGGCTACGATTTAAAACAACTTGAATTTAATTTAAGATATTATTTTCATAATAATTTATTAATTCTAAGTCTTTCTTTGGGAAGTTTGCATTTGCTAAAGTCTTTTATAGTACAACATAAATGAAAAGACACCCTTTTTACTGAACTGAATCGGAATAACATGATGATGAGTGCATATGAATTTCTTTTTTTTTAAAGATTTTTTCCTTAATTAAGAGATTTGAATCCCTTCTGTGACTCTATTCCTGCTCCTGGAGCCATACTGGAGCAAAATTGAACAGTATTAAATCTACATAAAATAAGCATACTTGCATTTAATCAATTTTAGAGGCAAACCTTGAGAAGTGAATCAAATAGCTTCATATAAATTAGATAACTTCTTATATAAATGCTTCAAAGATTATTCCTATACATTTCAATTGAACATTTTCGAACTCGTGCACAATAATCCATGAAGTGAACAAAATTATATGATGACATTTGCAAAGGAACAGGAATATACAATCTGTAGCCTTGTATTTTTTTAGTAGACAAATGTTAAATATTTTTCCTAATTTTATACTAAACGTTGGCCACTGATGTCCCCATCCCTACCCTAGATAGCACATATGAAAATCAAATTACATGAACAATTGACAATACCAAGTCTTGTAGTACCTTCTGAGAAGATTTTTAAAGATTTTCCCCAATACAAAACTATGGACCTTATCTAGGTCTCATCTTGACACGTGGGTCATACTTTGACCAAATTTTCATCATATTATTATAAAGCATTCATACACGTTTTGTTCTTATTTCTTGGTTGTTTTGAGAATTTGTTTTAATGACCACGCCTTATTTTCATTTTTTAAATTTAATTTTTCTTGAAAATGGTCGGGTCCTTTGAATAAATTTGAGTTTTATACCCACTGATACTTTTTTCAAAAAATTGTTTGAAATTCGGTGAACTAAAAGGGTCTCAAAATTATTTTCAAAAAACATTCTGACTGTTGAGGACATCATTTTGCAGTGGAATACCTCCCTCAAGACACCGTCGGTAACACATCTGGATACCAATCAATCATTTACAATATCTAAACTAGAATTAGAAAATCAGAATCAGAAGAGACAAACTCTGATGATGAAAACATACCCAGCAACTCCATACCCACCAACTCCGGACCCGCCAACACCAGCACCAATGATAACACCAGCACCAACTTTTTGCCCTCTATCTCTTGGCTTTATTTTACTATATGGCGATTGTAGACAAAAAGGACAACAAATTATCCCTGAGAGAACATTTCCTCCACGAATACCTAAACCAGCAATAACTGTATCAACTTCACGAATTCCACCACCCCCAAAAACTACACTGATGATAACGAAGCAACAGCAAATTATTCCTGAGACAACACCACCTCCAAGATCAACTAAACCAGCAAT